AGAGAGAGAGAGAGAGAGAGAGAGAGAGAGAGAGAGGAGATTAGAGGAGAGAAGGAGAGAGAGGAGAGGAGAGAAGAGGGAAGAGGAGAGGAGTCCTGGGTAAAGATGAGACAAAGGTAAGGGAGAGAAGAAAAGAGGAGAGGAGGGGATGGGAGGGGAGTGGAGAAGAGGGGAGGGGAGAGAGGGGTTAGAGGAGAGAAAGGGAAGAAAAGGAGAGGAGAGTGAGATCAATAGGAGAGGAGAGGAATGTAGGGAGAGGAGTGGGAGAGGAAGGTAGAGGAGAGGAGACTGAGATAGGAAAGGAAGTGAGAGGACTGGATAAGAAAGAAGAGGAGAGGAGTGAATGGCAGGGAAAAGGGTTGGAGGGGAAGGGAGAAGAAAGGAGAAGAGGAGAGGAGAAGAGGGTAGTGGATAGGAGAAGAAAGGAGGGTAGGGGAGAGAAGAGGAGGGGAAGGGAGAGAAGAGATAAGAGAGATTAGGGAAGGGAGAGGAAAGGAGATTGAGATAGAAAGGGGAAGAGGGGTGAATACAGGAAAGGAGAGAAGTGCAAAAGAGAAGAGGAGAGAGGAGGGCAGAGGAGCAGAGAGGGGAAAAGACAGGAGAGGAAAGGAGAGGACTTGGAGAGAAGGCAAGGTTGGGGGGGGAGGGGAGGGAAATGAGAGGAGAAAAAGGGAGGGGAGAGGAATGGAGATTAGGATAGAGGAGGGGAGGGAAAGGGAGAGGAGCATTGAGGAAAGGCCAGTAGAGGAGAGGAGGGGAGAGAAGGGGATGGAAGGGGAGAGAAGGGGAAGGGAGAAGGGAGAAGATAGGAGGGAAGAGGAGGGGAGTGGAGAGTAGGGGATGGGAGAGGAAGGGAGAGGAGAAGAGGGGGGAGGAAGTTACAGAGAGGTGGGAAGGTGAGTGGAGAGGAGAGGAAAGGGTGGAAGAGGAGGGGAGGGCAGAGGAGAGTAGCAGAGGTTAGAGGAGAGAAGGGTAGAGGAGGTGAGAGGAGAATAGGGGAAGGAGAGGACAGGAGAGAAGGGGAGGTGCGGGGAGTGAGGAGGAGAGGAAAGGAGGAGAGAGGTGGGGAGGTGTGAGGAGGGGAGGAGAGAGCAGAGAAAGTGAAAGGGAAGGGGAGGAGAGGAGGGGAGAGGAGAGGAGGGGAGAGAAGGGGAGGGAAGAGGAGAGGAGAGAAGAGGAAAGGAGAGGAGAGGACAGAAGGGGAGAAAAGGGGTTGGGTGAGGTTAGGAGAAGAGGGGAGGAGAGAGAAGGGGAGAGTAGAGGAGGGGAGGAGAGGGAACGGGAGAGAAGGGGAAAAGAGATTAAGGGAGAGGAGGGAGAGAGAAAAGGAGAGGAAGGCAGAGGAGAGGAGGTGAGGGGAGAGTAGAGGAGGGGAGGAGAGGGAACGGGAGAGAAGGGGAAAAGAGATTAAGGGAGAGGAGGGAGAGAGAAAAGGAGAGGAAGGCAGAGGAGAGGAGGTGAGGGGAGAGTAGAGGAGGGGAGAAGAGAGGAGGGGAGGTTAAAGGAGAACAGGAAAGAGTAGGAGAGAGGAGAGGAGGAGAGAGAAAAGGTAGGGGGAGGAGAGGAGATGAGGATAGAGGAGGGAAGGGGAGAGAAAGGAAGAGGAGGAAGGGGAAAGGAAGGGAGAAAAGAGGTGTGGATAGAGAGGGAGAAGAGAAGAGATTGAGATAGATAAGGGAGGAAAGGAGAGAATAGCAGGGGAGTGAAGTGGAGAGGAGAGGAGAGGAGAGGAAAGGACAGAAGTGGTAGGAAGAGGTGAAGAGTGGATAGGAGGGGACAGGAAATTGTGATAGATAGGAGAGGAAGGGATAGGAGAGGAGAGTAGGGGAGGGGAGATGAAAGGAGAGGAGAGGAAAAGAGATTGAGAGAGGAGCAAAGAAGAGAGGATGGGTGAGGAGGTAACATGACAGGAGGGGAAATGAGAAGAAAGGATGGGAGAGGAGGTGAGATGAGAGAAAAGCAGAGGAGGGGAGAGGCAGAGAAAGGAGGGGTGAGCATGAGAGAGGAGAGGAGAGGAAGGAAGAGGAGGGGAGAGTAGAGGAGAAGAGGGGATGGGATGGGAGACAAGGGGAGAGGACATTAGGGGAGAGGAAGGGAGACAGGAGAGAAGAGGAGAGGAGGGCTCAGAAGTGGAGAGTGGAGAGAAGAGGAGGGGTGATGAGAAAAGAGGAAGGAAGGGGAGAGGAGGGGAGAGGAGGGGAGTGAGAGGAAGGGAGAGGACGGAAGGGTAGTTGAGAGGATAGGAGGGGAAAGGAGAGGAAATGGAGATAGATACCAGAGGAAGGGAGAGGAGAAGAGATGAGGGAAGAGAAAAGAATTGGAGGGAATTGAAGGGGAGAAGAGGAGAGAGGAGAGGAGAGGAGGGGAGAGGAGGAGAGAGGAGGGGAGAGGAGGGGAGAGGAGAGAAATCCATGGGAGAGGAGTGAAGAGGAGGGGAGAGGAGATTGAGATAGATAGGACAGAAAGGGAGAGGACAGGATAGGTAGAGAGAGGAGGGGAGAGGAGGGAAGAGAAGGGGAGAGGAAGGAGAGGGGACAGGAGGGGAAATTAGTGGAAGAATGGGGAAAGGATGGGAGAGAAGAGAAAAGGAGAGGAAGAGATGGGAGAATAGAGTATGGTAGAAGGAGGTGAAGAGGGCAGAGGGTGGAGAGAAGAGGACAGTGGGGATGAGGGGAGAGTAAGGAGAGGGGAGGAGAGGAGAGAAGGAGGGGAGAGGGAAGGGGAGAGAGGAGAGGAGAAGAGAGGAGGAGAGGTTGAGTAGGGAGAGATGGGGAGAGGAAAAGAGGGGAGAAGAGAGGAGAGGAGAGAAGTGTGGAGAGCATAGGATAGGAGAGGAGATGAGGGGAAAGGGTGGAAGAGGAGGGCATAGGAGAGGAGAGGATTGGAGAGAAGTGGAGGGGAGGGGAGAGGAGGGGAGAGAGAAGAGGAAAGGAAAGGAGGGGAGAGAAAGGAGATTGAGATAGGTAGGATGGGAAAGGATATTAGAGGAAGGGAGGGAAGAGAAGTGTTGAGAAAAAGGGAAAGAGGAGAGGAGAGGAGACGAGGGGAAAAGATAGCAGAGGAGAGGAGAGGGGAGGTGAACAGGCAAGGGGAGAGATGGGGTGAGTTAGTGGAGAAGAAAGCAGGGGACAGGAGGGGAGAGGACAGGAGAGGGGAGGAGGAAACAGAGAAAAGGAGAGGAGAGGAGATGCGATTGAGAGAGATAGTAGAGGACATGAGAGGAGAGAAGAGGAGGGGAGAGTAGGGAAGAGAAGAGAGGAGAGGAGTGGATGAGAGTATAGTGGAGAGGAAGGGAGAGGGGAGGGGACGAGGAGAGAGAAGAGAGGAAATGAGAGGATTGAAGGGGAGAGGAAAGGAAAGGGAAAGAGAAGTGAGGAGGGGAAAGAGGAGAGAAGGGGAGAGGAGAGGAGGGGAGGGCAGAGAAGAGTATGGGGGGGAAGAGGGGACAGAAGTGGAGAGGAGAGAAGAGGGAGAACTAGAGGAGAGGAAGGAGAGGGAAGGAAAGGAGAAAAGGGAGGGAAGAGGAAAGGAGAGAAGTGGAAGAGAGGGAAGGGGAATGTTGAGGGAGAGAAGAGAGGAGAGGAGAGAGGAAAGTAATGGAGAAGAGAGAAAAGGAGGGGAGAGAAGTGAGGAGAGAAGAGGATAGGGGATGCAAAGAGGGGAAGGGAGAGGAGTGGAGAGAGAGGAGGACAGGAGGGAAGAGGAGAGGAGAGAAGGGGAGAGGAGGCCAGAGGAGGGGAGAGTTGAGGAAAGGAGAGGAGAAGAGAGAAGAGGAGAGGAGAAGAGGCAAGGCAAGAGAAGGGGAGCAAAAGAGAGAGGAGGGGAGAGCAGGAGATTGGAGGGGAGAGAGGAGATGAGGGGAAGAGAGGAAGGGAGAGGAGGGGACAGGAAGGGAGAGAGGAGAGGAGAAGAGAAGACAGGAGAGAGGAGAGGAGAGTATAGGGAAGGAGGATAAGAGAGGAGAGAATTAGAGGAGAAATGGGGGGATGAGGGGAAAAGTGGGTGAGCAAAGGAAATGAGAAAAGAGGAGGGTAGAGGAGAGGAGAGAAGTGTAGGGAAGGGGAGAGGAGACAGGAGAGGATGGGAGGGTGTGTAGGTGAGAGAAGGGAACAGAAAAGGAGGGAAAGGAGAAGAGAGTACAGGAGGAGAGTGAAGAGAGGAGAGAAC